GTGATGGGGCAGACTTAGTTGACATCCTAGGGGAGGCTTTACCTTCTCTGAGGAGTGGATGGGAGATGGGATGGGAGTAGGAGGGGAGGGGGGGGGAGGAGGGAAGAGAGGGGGTAGGAGGGAGGGGGAACTGTGATTGTAATGTAATATATAAAAAGAAAAAAAATGAAAATCTTTAAAAAGATATTCCTGATACATATTGACAGAATGCCCTTGCAAATTTACCTTACAGGGGTGTACCCAATTCCGCAAAGTCCCAAGGGAAATTTAGAACATTTTCATTTTGATAAGGTAATGCACATCAAAGCCTTTGCTTTTGATCAGAATGGGGGAGATGGGAGGCATGAGGGCTGAAGGGAATGGAGAAAGGGAGTAGGAATGTTTCATATGAGAGAAAAATGTAAAAAAAACAAAAACCTAGCCTGGCCATGGTGGCTCACACCTTTAATTCTAGCACTTGGGAGGCACAGGCAGGCGGATCTCTGTGAGTCCGAGGTCAACCTGGTCTACAGAGTGAGTTCCAGGACAAGCTCCAAATCTATACAGAGAAACCCTGTCTCAAAAAACCATAAAACAAAAATAAAAAACTCCAGTAAACCCAAACTACCACTACTGACTCCTCACCAGAAGCTAGTTTGTGATCAAGCTTAGATCAGTATGGAGAGAGAGAGAGAGAGAGAGAGAGAGAGAGAGAGAGAGAGAGAGAGAGAGAGAGATATGATGGGGATGTAGCTGTAGAGTGCTCACCCAGAATGCATAAGTGGGTTCAATCCCAGCACTAGGGAGGCAGAGGCAGGCAGATCTCTGTGAGTTGGAGGCCAGCCTGGTCTACAGAGTGAGTTTCAGGACAGCCAAAGTGACACAGAGAAACCCTGTCTCGAAAAATCAATAATAAAGTAAGATAAAATGAGGAAACATACAGTAACTTAAGACTTGCTCACCTTTGCCTAAATCTCAAAGGTTCCTAGTTAGTGAAAGCACTGGGGATGACTGGCCAAGCCTTCACTGTCTGGCATGGGCTCAGGACATAGTATGTACGGTACTTATCCCCACATTCCCAATTCTGCAGTTAGACGCCTGCATTTTGGAGTCTCTGGTCTCCGTGTTCAGACCGCCCTGCAACCTTCGCGCCACGCAGCGGTCTGTGCACACCTGGCATTCACACCTATAGCGCCGCCCTGGCAGACGGGACACTTCGCCAGCCGCTGGCCGCGCATGCTCTCTGTTCGCGCTCTGCTCCCGGGCCGCACCTCCGCGGCCCCGCCCCTGAGCGGTTGGAATTTGAATCTCCGGCGCGACGCTGCAGGAAGCCTGGAACCCTGGGTCAGGCATGGAGAGCCCTGGCTCAGTCTCGCGCTGCCCGGTGCGACAGCAGCGTGCTCGTTGGGAACGGAAACGTGTGTGCACCGCTCGGGAGCTGCTGGAGACCGAGCGGCGCTACCAGGAGCAACTGGGGCTTGTGGCCACGGTGGGCTCGGAGTGGGTGTGGGAGGGTCTGAGACCTTGCTTCCCCTGGGTTGGGCGTTCAGACCGATGTCTGCAGTTTCTGGCTGCACCTCCACGTTGGCTGCTTCTTGCCACAGAAACTATTCTTTCCCTTCACAGTACTTCCTGGGAATCCTGAAAGCCAAGGGAACACTACGACCACCAGAGCGCCAGACCCTGTTTGGGACCTGGGAGCGCATCTATGCTGCTAGCTTGTGAGTGGAAGCTTTGTAGGTAGCGGGACCTCCGAGCAGAGTCAGAAAGGCCAAGTTCATCTGCCAACTTTCTCACCTGTGGCCTTGGCCCAATGCCTTAACCTGCCTATGCCCCAGCTGTAAAATGGGATAATAGCACTACCTCCAAGGCAGGGTTATGGGAAGTATATAGGTGCTTGAGTTGTTGGCCTACCTTTTACTGTCTGTTGCCCACACAGAGAGCTGCTTCCCTACTTGGAAGAAGGACACTGGGGGCCGGGACTAGAGGGCTTCTGCTCACACCTGGACCTCTATACTCAGTTTGCTGCCAATGCAGAGAGTTCGCGGACCACCCTTCAGGTGACTCCTTCCACACACACACACACACACACACACACACACACACACACACCCTTTAACCTAGTGTTTTGCATTTAGAGCCCAGCTCTTTGCTAACATTCCTAAGAGGACTCTTTGTAGTGCACAGCTTGTGGAAGGCTGGGCACACAGATGAATGTAGTATTGGGAGTGGCTTCTCTCCCTGATGCAGACTCTTCTTCCCATCCAGGAGCTACTGAAGAAGAATAAACGTTTCCGGAGGTTTGTACAGCTTCAGGAAGGCCGACCTGAATTTAGGGGTCTTCAGCTTCAGGACCTACTCCCTCTGCCCCTGCAGCGGCTCCAGGAGTGAGTGAGCCCCTCTAGGCTGGAATTACCTCCTCAGGCTGCATAACTGCTGCCTGCAGCTTTGTGGGATTGCCATAGGTTCTGTCCCAGCTCTGCCTTTCTAGGCCCAATTACATTTAGGGAGCTTTTACCAGCATAAATGTGAACCCTCAGGGTTACCCAGGGTCTGCAGCCTCAGTCTGGGGCTGTGGGAATGTATACTGAAGTGAGGGACTTTGCACTAAGGCCTCAGACAAGCTATCTGAAAAAGCTCATTGGGGTGAGGAGTTAACCTAGTCTTGAAGTTCTAGTCCAGCGTTCCTAGGTTGCCTGTGGTAGTCTCCTCGGTTTGATTAACTCCCAACTTCTGACCCAGCTTCCTGAACTATAGTCTGCCACTGACTCTTCAGTGTGGGATGGGCGTGGCCTGCTTAGTGAGCCCAGATTCCCCAGGTAAAGAGGGGCAGCAGAGAAGCCAGGCAGTTCCCGACCTTACATTACAGCTAAGGAGTAAGCGTCTGGAGACTGATCTCCAGGTCACCTGAAACCAGGGCATTTTGCCTGGTTTCCTTCCCTTCCCATTGTCCACTTCCAGGTACGAGAATCTCATCGTGGCTTTGGCTGAAAACACAGTTCCCAACAGCCCTGACTACCAACAGCTCACACGTAGGTTCTTGTTCTTCTTCAGCTCAGGCAGAGGCTGCCTGTCCTGAAAGCCTTTCTGGTTCTGACCTCCAACAATGGCTAGTATGTCCCCATCTTCCATTACATGTGCCCTGCCTTTTCTTCAAGAAGCTAGAACCTGATACAGGCCCCCTCCAGACTAGCTTGCCTTTTCCTACCTCAAAGCCAAAGTTAAGTTGGCAGTGAGGTAGAGGGTATTGTTCCAGGGGCTGCCCGCCGCGTGAGTGAAACTGCCCAGAGAGTCCACGCTATTGGCCAGAGCCAGAAGAATGACCAGCACCTCCTGCGTGTCCAGGCTCTACTCAGTGGCCGCAAGGCAAAAGGGCTCACTTCAGGTATGGCCTTTGCCCTTCAGTCCTCAGTTGCCCCTTGCTCGCTCACTCCTCTTCCTCTACAAAGCCAGCATATTGGGCTGGCAGATGGCTCAGCTGGATGGACTGAGTTAATCCTGGAACCCACATAAAGGTAGGAGAGAACTGAGTCCACAAAGTTGTCCTCTGCCCTCCACATAGACACACAAAAATGAAAAACAAACCAAAGCAGCATATTACCTCCCAGCCCTGGATCCCCCCTGCCTTTTTCCTTGTGTTCTCATGGATCCTGGAGCTGTACGAGAATAACGGCTCTCATTTTCTAGGACGCTGGTTCCTACGTCAGGGCTGGCTTTTAGTGGTGCCTCCTACTGGGGAGCCTCGGCCCCGCATGTTCTTCCTCTTCTCTGATGTGCTCCTCATGGCCAAGCCTCGACCCCCATTGCACCTGCTGAAGAGTGGCACCTTTGTCTGCAAAGCCCTGTACCCTATGTCCCAGTGTCAACTTAACAGGGTCTTTGGCCATTCAGGAGGAACTTGTGGTGGTTTGCTCAGTGTAAGTTGTAGATGGGAAATCTGGGCTCTTACCAGACCAAGTGTATTCCTTAGTCTGGGTCCCTTTTCATGAGAGTAAGGGGACTGTTGGGGCTAAGGTTTAATATTTAGTCATCATCTTATCCCTGAATTCACACCGTGGAACAGTGGGGGCTTCTAAAGTGGGGGAACTAAAGTGGTTTCTCCCTAGCTGTCCTTCCCCAATGAGAAGCTACTGCTTATGTCCACCGACCATGAGGAGCTGTCAAGATGGTACCACAGCCTGACTATGGCTATCAGGTAAATTGGAAAGGAGTGCTCTTCTCATAGCAGGGTCCCCCATCCCCACAGGTGACTGTTTGAATACAGCACTCATCCTGAACTGTTTTCTTCCCACAGAAGCCAGAAGAGCTAGACTCATAGAACTCTAGCAACAAGACATTGTCATCTAAAACTGTGCTGGGCCACATTCATAGCTCTCCTAGCATATATGTGGCAGTTGGGTATGCCTCAAAAGAATCGTAAAATTCCAGAACTCAGGATACTCAGGGATAGGGCAGAGCCAAGAACAAAAGGGAATCGACTTCAGTTCTGGAACCACAGAGTCCTCCATGGGTTGACATGACCATTCAACTAGCTTATCAGAAAACAAGCTGGCATATCCTTTCTCTTGGGAGGAAGAGACAGGCTGATCTTTGAGTTCTAGGCCAGCCTGTCTACAGAGTGAATTCTAGGACATCCAGGGCTACACAGAGAAACCCTGCCTTGTTTTAAAGACAACAAGAATCAGAAAGCAGGCTTCAACCTAGCCGGAGTCCCAGCTGATTCAGCTCCTTTAACACCATGCCAGTGGGGGCCTCACTGTTTATTCATTTTGTTACTTGATTTATTTTTGAGACAGAGTCTTACTCTGTGACCCAGGCTGACTATGCACTTGAATTTCTCCTGCCTCAGCCTTTCAAGTGTTGGGTTTACAGGTGCTGCCACACCTGGCAACTGTATATAGTTCTTTTCTTTTCTTGAGACAAGGTTTCATGTAGCCCAGGCTGGCCTTGGACTCCACATCTTCTGAACTACCTCTTATGTTCTATAATTTATTTCCCCACTGGATTTTAATATAGTGCTATTTTGTTGTAATAGAGTTTTAATAAAGTGCTGTTTTGTTGTGTTTTTGGAAAGATCTTTCTGTCCAAACCATGAGAAAAAGGAGTTTGAGCCTTGACGGCTGACACATCGATAGCCTCATGAATACAGGAGAAGTAGAAGCTCCCCCTGTCTTCTCCCAGTTCTGGAAGGCAGTCTCTTTTCCTAATAAGGGAACCTTTTCTGGGAGGCCCAGTTGGCTTACGTACCTAGTATTCCTGTGTATGACTGGCTGGGAGCAGGAAAGCACAGAGGAAGACCCAGGACATGGTGACTTGGTTTTACTAACCCTTCAGTGGCTGTCCCTCCTTCCTTACTGGGTCCTTTGTCACAGTCTTGTGCCATCTTCGCCTCAGCCCCTGCTCCACCTCCCAGGAAGGAGCTGGGTTCCATGAATCTGGGCTCCAGTTTATGGGCCCCTCCCAGGCCTGACTGTCTCCAGCTCCTTGTTGGTCTTCTTTCCCCAAGTGCTCAGGAAAGGGTATGCTGGCCTCTGTGAGGGGAAGATCAGCTTGTTCCAGTTTCCCAGCCTCTGTCTCCCAGCCATCACCTCCCAATTGTTTTCCTGGAACGTGCACACCTGCATCAGGGTTGCAGTCCTGTAGGAGCTGGTGGATGGTCCTGAGCTTCATGTTTAGGAGTTCCCGCTGGGTTCCAACCAGAGTAGTCACCCTGCAGAAATATCCACTTAGGGACTGCTCAATCTTTGTCCGTGGCTCCCCACTCACCCCACAAATTCTCACCGCTCAAAAAGGGGGTCCAGCTGGGTCATCAGATTGTTGAGATTCTGTTCCGTTTGGGCCAGCTGCTGTGTCAGCTGTACCAGCTGTTGTTCTGGGAGAAGGTAGACAGGATGGTTACTCATGCAGTTCCTGGCCTATTCCTCCACAAAACCACCACTACTGCTCAACCCACCTGACTGCGGGGATTTCTTCTTGTCTTTTTCCTCTTGGAGAACGGCAGCCTCATCCGGGCCCTGTTGTGAAAGCAGGAAAGGGTAAAGCTGCAGGAGCCAAGGCCCCAGCACCTGTCAGTAAAGACAGGAACCACACAGAGAAAGCTCTGAGCATTCACCTCAGAATCCCAATAGTTTCTAGTCCAGCAGCACACCCAGAACATGAAACAAGTCAGTATGCCCACATTTGGCCAGACTGCTAAAGCACTCCTTGGAATCTGAACACTGATCACATATCCCTGCTTCCTTGTTTAGCATCCTTATCCTCCAATCTTTGAGAAAGGATCTTGCTAAATTGCCCAGACAGGCTTTGGACTCCTCCTGCCTCAACTTCCCGAGTAGCACACGTCTGTGCGGCTAGGTCCAGCTCCCTCAGGGTCTGCTGGTATAAAGTCCCCAATCTGTTAAGTCAGTTTACAATTCACATTATCTCCCTTCCATGCTGTTTTGCTGAATATAGTGCTCTTAAAGGCAGTACCCTGAGGTTTATTTTTAGGATACAATCCTCCCACTGTTATGATGGCAACAGGTTATTATAACGCGCCATAAAACTATCAGCTGGAATGCCTACATCTCTTCCCCAACTGCTTGGCTCCTTTTATAAGACAGGAATTGAATTTATTTTGGCTTGGTTTTTCGAGATAGGGGTTCTCTTTGTAACAGCCCTGACTGTCCTGGAGCTTGCTTTGTAGACCACCAGGTTGGCCTTGAACTCACAGAAATCCTCCTGTCTCCCAAGTGCTGGGATTAAAGACGTGTGCCACCACACCCTGCTAGACTTTAATCAATTCTAATCCTCATTCTACCCTGGCAAGTCTGCCTGGACTCGTTACTAGTCATCTCATGTAGTTTTATATCACTGATTAGTTCAGTTTCTATTTCCTAATACAAGTAATTGATCAAGGCTGAAGATACAGCCCTGGGTGGTAGGTACCAATCTCTACTTCAACAATTTCAAATCCATCAGAATTACTGTCAGTTCACATTTCAGGGCTTCCTTCTCAAGGAGAGCATGAAACGGCTTTGGTGTCTGGCACACTAACCCTGTTGTTGCAGCGGTTAACCCCTTGGGCCAAGGTTGGAGCCTCATCAATAAGTGCACTTTTTCGCATATAGACACTATAGTTGAGTTAAAATACCACTTCCATCAGACACTAGGTGGAGGTTCTCGAGTAAGAAAATCGCTCTTCACTGGACTGTGGGAGGATTAAACGTAACGGTCATTAGCTACAATTTCCCAGGCGCCTCTCTGGGAAATCCATCACCTCTCTGGATCCTCGAACCCCCAAAAGGTAGGAAAACCAAGATACTAGTTTTCCGGGAAGCGGAGTCTTGTTCTTGGCACAGTAGCGTCCCCAGAAGATTGAGGCCCAGGACTCCCCCAACCCACAGCTATACCGCACCTGCAAACACTTGTACAACACAAAAGCCACGACGGCCGCAGTGTACAGTGCCCCCAAAGGCAGCGCTCCAGCCCGGGCCTGCTCGCGCTGGTCCTTGGGTGGCGGCCGCCGCCGGGATTCGGTGGCCCCGGGACCGACCTGGGAGCTGCGTTCTGTGGATTAGAGACACCGGTCAGGGGAGAGGAAGCTTCTCCCGGGCAATCCAAGCCTCCCTCCAGCAGCCCTCGCTGGTACCTGAGTGTGTCTCTAGATCGGGGCTGGGGCGCTCACCAAGGACCCCAAACAGCGCAGACACAAGCAGCAGCCCCAGCACACTCGACACGGGTCCCGCGCCCGCCATGCCCGGCTCACCGGGAAGGTGCGCCAGTAGCCCCGCGTTCCAGCCTTGGCTCCTCGCTGTAGGGCGCACGCGCAAACGACCACAGCCGCTCCCGCTGAGTGCCCTTGGGCGACCACGCCCCTCGCACGGGGCGGGGCAAAATATTTGCATACTACCACCCCCATCTGGCTTTTCTACATTACTTAATTTCCTATCTATGTTTATATTCCTCCAGTAGGAATGGCTCCATAATCTTTCAGTCTCAAGTATCGTGCTTCAAACAGTGGCTCCTCGTTTTAGAACTGAATCGGACAATTTCATCACCATAAGCTAAAAATTAAGGTTGTTTTAGAGCTATAAATAGGCCCAGCTGTACCACTTAGTGCAGCTCGCTCTGAAGGCCTGTTTCCTAGGCTACGTACGAGGGACATGTTCCTTATCCTTCCGCCTAGGGGAAAGTCCCCGGACCATGGGCAGAGAGTGCCGCGTGCACACGCGCGTAGACTTCCCCGCGAGTCACTGTTAGTCCGCCAAGAAGCAGACCCCTCTGGGGCGAGCCGAGCGGCGTGCGGCGGGACGTCATCCGTCAGTCCTCCTAGTAACGCAGGCAGTGCGACTCTTGCGCACCAACCACACGGGGCTCATTCTCAGCGCGGCTGCTTTTTTATGCTCCAGCTGTATGTAAAGCCCGTAAAGCCCTAGAACAGGAATTTATTTCCACTCTGAGAAGTAATAATACATATGCATCTTAAAGAATTCTGATGGGATGAAGAAGAAAGTACTTGCTTTTACTTGCTTTCAGAGCCAGTTGTGATGTATACCTGTAATCTTCGTGGAAACAAGAGGACCAGGAACTCGGGGTCACCCCCACCCTCGAGACATGAGACACTATCTAGCTATAAGAAGAAAGAAAGAAAGAAAAACCCAAAAACTAAAAATCCTTAACTTCTGATTTTATTTTTCTTTAATAGCACTAGGCTGCAAGTACCAAGAGAGCATTGCCATGACCCTTTTCCTATTTTACTGTCTGATACTAGCAAAGTACTTGTCACTATCAGGCGCTTGAGGAATTGAATGAAATTAATCAATGAATGTTCACAACAAACCAAAAGATAAATTAGATTCTTCGGGGGCTCATGTAGCCTAGGCTGGCTTCAAACTCGCTATGTAACTGGGACTGACCTAAAACTCCTGGTCCTACTTCTTCCACCTCCCAAATGCTGGGATTACAGCCTTGCAGTATGGCACAGGTTTATAATTAGAGCTGCCAGATGTGATGCCACACTCCTTTAATCCCAGCAGTGGGTGGCAAAGGTAGGTGGATCTCTATGAGTTCATAGTGAGAGCCTGTCTCAAATAAATAAATATTTAAAAATATTTAAAAAAAAAAAAAGGAAAAGAAAAGAAATCCAAGAAACTAAGATAGAATAGGGTGTTAACACCTTTTGCCCCCGGTTGTGTTATTTGTTTGAGACCATTTCAGTGTCTCAATATATACTGAGATCCTCCTGCGGTAGTCTCTGGAGTGCTGGGGTTAAAAGGCATGCAGCCAGCACGCTCAACTTTCCCTATTACCTTTTAACTGGGCAACACAGGGCCATCTTCAATCAATAGCTCTCTAAGGGAAGAAACATGTTCCATTTGCATCTCTGTCTTCATGACTTGGCAATCACCAGGTAAGAGGTGCACGTGTTACACAAATGAATAAACTACGGAGTCTATTTTGTTTTCCCTGAAAGGGAGGCAGAAGGATAGATAGGTCAGGGCAATGGGAGTTGTCAAAGTCTGATTGTTCCAAGAAAGCTCAGATGGATGGGAAAGCAGGGTAATACAAACCTGGAGTCGATGCCAGATGGCATAGTGTGTGTTAAGTTCAAGCCCATTCTAATGGGACAAGTCACTCTCAACTGAAGGCTGCCTTTTTGTTTGTTTTGGATTTTTGAGTCATATAGTCCAGGCTGACCTCAGAGCTCACTATGTTTACAGCCAAGGATGGCCTTGAACTTCTGAACCTCCTGCTTTTCCCTCCTGAGCACTGAGACTGTAAGGGTGTACCACCAAACCTGGTCTTTAGATAAGATTTCATTGTTTGATGTTGGTGATACTGGGGGTCTAGCCAATGTCCTCACACATGGAAGGCAGGAACTCTATCACTTAGCTGTAAACCCAGCTACTGTCTTTGTTTCAGTTCTAGTTGAGACCGGGTCTCGTTCTATAGTCCAGCCTAGATTCAAATTCACAATCCTTCTGCCCTAGCCTTCTGAACATGTGTCACAATGTCTGGCCTGGATTGCTACCTTAGAGAACTCTTGCCCACTATTTCAAATCTACCAACTATTTTCTTCCAAAGAACCAGCCAATCAAGATTTTTAAAAAAATTGTTGGGCCGTAGTGGCACATACCTTTAATCTCAGCACTCAGGAGGCAGAGGCAGGCTGATCTCTGTGACTTTGAGGCCAGCCTGGTCTACAGAACAAGTTCCAGGACAGGCTCCAAAGCAATACAGAGAAACCCTGTCTCGAAAAACAAACAAAACAAAACAAAAAAATCCCATTTATTTCCAGGCAGTCGTAGTGCATGCCTTTAATTCCAGCATGAGGGAGACAGAGGACAGAGGCAGGCAGATCTCCGTGAGCTGGAGGGCAGCCTGATCTACAGCTTGAGTTCCAGGACAGCCAAAGCCACAGAGAAACCCTGTCTCAAAAAACAAAGGAGCAAAACTAACAAAAAAGAAAATCCTATTTATTCATTTTTGAAATTTTTTTGAGGTCAGCTTGGTCTACATACAGAGCTAGTTCCAGGACAGCTAAGGCTGTTACACAGAGAAACCCTGTCTCAAAAACCAAAAATCAAACCAAAAACTGTGTTCTTCTCTTATACCATACACCCTGACCCCAGTTTCCCTCCACTCCCCACAGCCCTCCTCCCCCCTTCCTACTTCCCTTTCTCCATTTCTCCTCAAAAAATAGCAGGATTCCCAGGGATATCAACTGAACACAACATAAGATACAAGACCAAGCACAGACCCTCACATCAAGGCGGTTGAGGCAATTCAGTAGGAAGAAAAGGGTCCCAAGGGCAGGCAAATGAGTAGGGAACACCCCCACTCCCACTGTTAGGAGTCTCACAAAAAACCCCAAGCTAAACAACCACAGCATTGGACTTAGTGCAGACCTATGTAGGCTACTTGATTGCTGCTTCAGTCTCTGTGAGCCTCTACGAGCCCTGCTTAGCCGATTCTGTGGGTTGTGATTTCATGGTGTTCTTGACCTCTCTGCCTCCTACAATTCTTCCTCCCCCCTCTCCTTCCCCAGGGGTTCTCCAAACCACAAGAGGAGGCACCCCATGGGGATCTCCAATTTGAGCTCTCTCTCCGTCTCATGTTTTGCTGTGGGTCTCTGCATCTGCTCCCATCAGCTGCCAGAGGAAGCCTCTCTCATGATGATTGGGCTAGGCACTGACCTATGATTATTTATTTATTTTACTGGTGTTTTGCTTGCATGTATGTCATATGAGAGTGTCCCCTGGAACTGGAGTTACAGACAGTTGTGAGTTGTCATGTGTGCTGGAGATTGCACCCAAATCCTCTAGAAGAACAGCCAGTGCTCTTAACCACTGAGCCATCTCTCCAGCCCAGGCACCGATCTATGAATATAGCAGAATATCATTAGGAGTTATTCCATGATTTCTTTTTCTATCCTAGGTCTCCCTGCTATCCAGCCTCTGGTTCCTGGTCATAGAAGCAGTGTCAGGCCTGGGCTCCCTCTTGTGGAATGGGCCTCAATTTAGACAAGTGAGTGGTTGGCCACTCCCACAAGTTCGATGCCACCATTACCCCAGCATGGTATAGATTGTAGTTCGAAGCTTTTGTAGCAGGATTGGTGTCCCAGTCCCATCATTGGAAACCTTGCTTGGTTACAGAAGATGGCTGGTTCAGGCTCCATATCCTCCATTACTAGGAGTCTTCTACAGGGCCACTCTAGTAGATTCCTGGGAGTTTCCACTATTCTAGGTTTCCACATCACCTCCCCATGCCCCCCAAGTCCAGTCTCTCTCCATACTCTCCCCCCCCCCACCTGATCTCTTCTATTCCCATCCCCACTCACCCTAGTCCACCTCCAAACTGTATTCTATTTCCCTTTCTCAGGGAGAGCCTTGTACTTCCTCTCTGGGTCTGTAGATTGTGGCATGGTTACCCTTTACTTAATGCTAATATCCACTTGTAAATGAGTATATACCATGTTTGTCTTTCTGGGTCTGGGCTACCTCACTCAGGATGTTTTATTTTCTAGTTCCATTCATTTGCCTGCCTCTATGGCATAGGATCTTGACTCAAAAATTTAAATAATCTTTTAGGTGTCAAATACACTTAGTATAGCCTTGGTTTCTTATCAGCATTTACAAATAGAGATTTCCAGCACTTTGGTGGTAAGTTAGGAGAAGCAATCTGGTGGTGAGTTGGAGGCCAATCTGGGCTATAAGTTCAAATTCAGCCTAGGCAACATAGCATGAGCTTGTCTGAAGAAAAAAATAAAGAATGCTGGCTGCACCCATAGGGCAGTTCACAGCCATCTCCAAATCCAACTCCAGGGAATCTGATGCTTCCTTCTGACCACTCTGGGCACCAGGCATGCAAGTCAAACACAGAAAGATATGTACCCATACCATACATGAAATAACAATTTGAAAATCTCAAAAGACAAAAACATTCTCACACATTAAATAAAATCAATCAATCTAAACAAAACAAAACAAAAACAAAAAAAATCATTTAAGTCCAAAAATAATAGGAAAAAATTCTGTTTGCAACATACAGGGGGAGGGACCAGGACATGGGTTCAATCCCCAGAGCCAGCAAATAAATAAAACTAAAATGTATGGGACAGTGATCATAAAGTTAAGAAAAATAAGCCTGCCTTTGCCTTTTGAATGAATGCTGGGTTTAAAGGCATGTGCCATCATGGCAGTAGTCAAAGAGTAAAAATATTTAGTTGTCTGTGGAGTTGGAGACACTGTGCCCCCTCAAAGTAAAACAACAAAAAACCCACCCCCAAACCTGAACAATTTACAACTCGTAGGAACCAATTCTAGAAACAGAGGGATGTACTTGTGTCAAGGACCCCTTGCATGACTAGATGCTCTCTGAAACATCTTCTGCAGCAAGTCAAGGTTTTTAGTGTATTTACTTATTTATAGCTCCATATGTAGTCCAGCTGGCCTCTCGTCCAGGGTTCCAGGGTTATGGGCATGAGTCACCACACCTGTTTTATGATGTTTTTAAAAAGCTAAGCAACAACTGGGGCGGCTGAGTAAGCCAGTGATCCCAGCCCTCAGCAGGTGGAGCAGCAGAAGTTCAAGGCTGGTCTGCACTGTACATAAAGCCCTGCCCTCACCCCAGTGCTAATTTGAAGCATACACATCATTGGAGCTCATTATTGTTCACAACAATTTAGAACTGAGATCTATAAAACATTAAAAAAAGTGTGTGTGTATGTGTTTGTGTATGTGTGTGTGTGTACACGCGCATGCATATTCCTGTGGAGACCAGAAATCAACTTCTTGGGTCCAGTACTCTCTACTGTAGTCTTTGAGCCAGGGTCTCTCACTAGCTCACCGACTTAGCTAACCTGGCTGGCCTGTGAGCTCTAAAGTGGGCCACCTATTTTCCTGCCACCATGTAAAGCTGAGGTTACAGATGTGTGCCTGAGCCTGGGTTTTATGTGGGTGTTAGATCCAAATTCAGGTCAAGTGCTAGACAAGTACTTTACAGATTGAGTTGTCTCCCAGCCAGCACATGTGAAGGATTTTTCCTTTCCAAGACAGGGTTTCACTGTGTGGCCCTGGAACTCCCTACTACTCTCTCTAGCAAATGAAAAGGTGCAAGGAAAGGCCCAATTTACCTGAATTAGCCTGCAATTAATGGAGTGTCAGTTCTTACGGACAGTTTGGATTAGTTAGGTTGCGAGGAAGGAACCTAGACCCCTCTACTTATCCCCAAGTATGATACAGTAGCAGCAACAACAGCAGTAATATACAGATATTTTCTCAGCTGGGCATAGCGGTACATGCCTGTAATTACAGAACTAGGTAGATAAAGGAAGGACAGGAGTTAGAGTTCAAATTGAGTTGGAAGCCAGTCTGGGCTACATAAATAAATATATCTATTTCCTGTAGTAGAACTGTGAATTCTGAAGTCATTCCACTTTAGAGCATGCTCACTGAGGCAAACATCTCCTTCGTGGCAACGTGAGCAAGAGAGAAAAGGTACACATCCCATGACAAAGGGCTCCTGTCCTTGTTAGTCCTGTCTCAGGCCAGCTCTGCTCTCCAGAGTCTTTGTGGACTCACCTGCACGTGGTGCGGAACACTCAGGCCTGTGACTACTCTCTGGTGAAGGGGACTCAGGGCCCTGGGGATTTTGGAGAGTTGAGAGCTCAAGGGCATTGCAGGTGCAGGCACAGGGCGGGGTCTTTGTTCTTTTACTCATCCCTCCTCTCTGCCTTCCTCTCCGGAAACCAGCAACTTTGCCACCGTCAGTATTGGTGATGCTGAGCTGTGCAGGCCAGGTTTAAGAAGACTTTGGGGTTGTGGGGGGTTGTGACAGCTGTCTGGCCATGAGTAGGGCAGACCCTTGGCTCAGGACGGTGTGATTATGGACGCGATGCTCACACCAGCACCAGTCATGAGCAGAGATGTCAACTGCACAGACCATCTACTAGCACCGGGTGAGCTGGGCGGGGCAGGGGCTCCCGGGGGAGGGGTTATGTGGTTCTATGTCCTATCTGATGCTGGTTGGGGAAGGGGTTTGTACAGGGCAGTAACAGCTCCCTCTACTCACATTTGCAGGGGTCCCCTCCATAACTTTTGCATGGGGACTGTGGGCTGTCTTAGGGCTTGTGACAGTGCTGTTTCTCATTTCACTGGCTGCACTCTTGTCCCAGTGGACCTCTCGTCGGAGCAAGAGCCAGGAGGGAGAGGGACGGTGAGTAAAGGATAACTGGGATGGGTTAACTGAGTACTCCCTCTTCACTAAAAAAATCCCCACTCATCTCCCAAATTCTGCACTGCAGCTCTGGAGGGTCCGTGGAAGAAATTCCCCTGTATGGGAACCTGCACTATTTACAGACAGGTAGGTATTGTGTGGGGGAGAAACAGGGCACAAGGGCCAGCTCTTAATAATAGGTGGGATGGAGATGGAGAGCTGCCAGGGACAAGCAGGAACTGACCGGATTCCTGTCCCTTGTCCTAGGACGGCTGTCTCAAGAGCCAAGGCCAGAAGAGGAGGACCCATCCTCTGGAGGCCCTGCCAGGGTGAGTCAGCTGGCTGAAGAAAATGGGAGGGAAGAAAACGGGGACCGTTCCCGAGGGTCCAGAGAACGTCCAACAGCCTCGCATATTCAGGCTACAGAGGAGGTGATGTGCTACACTAGCCTGCAGCTGCGACCTGCTCAAGGTCGGATCCCCAGCTCTGGGACCCCCATCAAGTACAGTGAGGTGGTGCTGGACTCTGAGCCAAAGCCCCAGGCCCCAGGCCCTGAGCCGGAACTCTATGCCTCGGTGTGCGCCCAGACACGCAGAGCCCGGGCTTCCTTCCCAGATCAGGCCTATGCCAACAGCCAGCCTGCGTCCAGCTGAGGAGGACCTGGAACTGTGGACAACCATGGCTCAGCTAATGGTCAGGGACTCCTGCTGCCCTGGCTAGTGCATGACTCTTCCCTACTGTTCCCAGGATACCGAGCCATTGTTTAGTGACTGGTGACCTATCCTGAACTTCCTACGTTGCAAGGCATCCCTCTCAGAGTAAGAAGGTTCCTGGCTTCCTGAGGATGGAGTTGCAAAGGCAGACCCCTCCTCTCCACACACACACACACACACCTTTTCTGTGTGTTTCTGTAAGCCCCCAAACTCCCTGCTTCACACCTTTTCCTCCTTCCGGAGTTTAACCCGGTTCTCCATCTCCCCTTCTGAGCTTATCAGATACCCCATCATCTCCTCAGACACAGGAAGTGGGCAGGGAGGAGGAAGTAAGAGCCAGAGAGGATGTGGGTGGGTATCATGCATGGGAGCACACAGGTGAAAGGCTCCTGGGGGTCTCAAGCCTGGTATCTGGCCTGAAAACCCCGGACAAAGAATGGGTTCCACATTGCTGTCTTTGGTGTCCCCTGGTTTTCAAATAAAACATCTCAAAAGCGTTTGTATTTTCAGCAGAGGCTGCAGGTCTGTAACCGACTCCCAAAGGGTGGGTATATGAGCTCTGGCACTGTGTAGAGCATTTCTGCAGTTGACTAGCTGGGGAAGGACTGAAGAGGTAAGATGCTGAGGGTGAAGGACTGGAGCCTAGCTACTCAGGTGCCATTCCTGATTCTAGAACATTCACAAGACTTATATGCAGAGCCGCCCCATTGCCACTGGGGTCTGAAATCTCACCAGTCCTGAGCCACTCTCTCCATTACTTCTGTAACTGTGTCCCCCTAACTTCTGGCCTAGCTCCTTCATCAGTTCCCACATCCATTCTCCCACATCCCCTGTGAGTGCTGCCTATACCCTTATTACAGCGTCAGTTGTCCTGTCTTTATTCTGTCTGCCAGATACCTCTATTGGCCTCCCCATCACCCTATAGTAATGGTCTACTCCACCTTCTTAGTTGTCACCTACAGTACTGGCAACAGTTTTGCTTGTCACAACTTGGATTTAAAAACCTTATCCAATATGCCCTGCTTTAGTCTTTTTTTTCCCCGTTTTTTTATTAATTTATTTTTTACATTCCAATCCCAGTTCCTTCTCCCTTCTTCCCTCCCACTCTCTCCACACCTCCCCCCCAATCTGCTCCATGGAGAGGGTAAGTTCTCCCATAGGAAGTCTACTAAGTCTGTGCCATCATCTAGTTGAGGCAGGACCAAGGCGCCTCTCCACCCACACACCCCTGGGTCTAGGCTGGCCATGGTATCTCTCCATATAGAAAATGGGCTCCACTAGTCATTTTGTGCATTAGTGTTAAATCTTGGACCCACTGCCAATGGCCTCATATATTGTCCCAGTCACACCATTGTCACCTATATTAAGGGAGTCTAGTTTGGACTAATGCATTTGTCATTTGTCAGACCTGAGTCAGTGATCTCTCACTAGCTGATTCCATGGTGGGTTTCCTCATCATGGTTTTGACTCCTTTGTTCATATTTTTGCTTCTCGCTCACGTTGATTGTACTCCAGTAGCTTGGCCTATTGGTTAGTTATGGATTTCTGTGTCTGTTTCCATCTGTTTCTGGAAGAGTGTTCAAGCTTTTCTGGCGGTTATGGATTGTAGGCTGGGTATCTTTTACTTTATTTCTGGTATCCACTTATAAGTGGGTACATGCTATATTTGTCTTTCTGGGTCTAGGTTACCTCACTTAAGATGATATTTTTTCTAGTTCTGCCCATTTGCCTTACAATTTTAGGATGCCATTGTTTCTTATCGCTGAGTAGTACTCCATTGTAGAAATATACCACATTTTCTTTATCCATTCTTTAATTGAGGGCCATCTAGGCTGTTTCCAAGATCTGGCTGTTACAAATAATGTTGCTCTGAACATAATTGAGCAAATGTCCTTGTGGTGTGAATGTGCTTCCTTAGGGTATATGCCCAACAGTGGTACTGCAAGGTCTTGAAGTAGGTTGATTCCTAATTTTCTGAGAAATTGCCATACTGATTTCCACAGCAGCTGTACAAGTTTGCACTCCCACCAGCAATGGAGGAGTGTTCCCTTTTCTCCACATCCTCTCCAGAATAAGCTGTCATTTGTGTTTTTTGATTCTAGCCATTCTGATCAGTGTAAGATGGAATCTAAAAGTAGTTTTGATTTGCATTTCCCTGATGGCTAAGAGTGTTGAGCATTTCCTTAAGTATCTTTCTGTCATTTGAGATTGTTCTGTTGAGAATTATCTGTACCTCATTTTTATTGGATTATGTGGTAGTTTGATTTCTAGTTTCTTGAGTTCTTTGTATATGTTGGAGATCAGCCCTCTGTCAGATGTGGAATTGGTGAAGATCTTTTCCCATTCTGTAGGGAGCCGTTTTGTTTTGTTAACTGTATTCTTTGCTTTATAGAAGCTTCTTAGTTTCAGGAGGTCCCAGTTATTAATTGTTGCTCTCAGAGTCTGTGCTACTGGTGTTCTCTTTAGGAAGTAATCTCCTATGCCTATGTGTTCAAATGTATTTTCTTCTAAGAGGTTCAGTGTGGCTGGATTTATTTTGAGGTCTTTGATCCATTTGGACTTGAGTTTTGTGCATGGATCTATCTGCATTCTTCTACATGTTGACAGCCAGTTATACCAGCACCATTTTTGAATATATTTTCTTTTTTTTTTTTTCCATTTTGTATTTTCACCTGCTTTATTCTTAACCTGAACCTCCTGAACTATATAGCATTCAGTGGTAATAGGCAGGCTGGCAACAAGGTTAGCTGTGGGCTTGGGAGCCAGACTGCCTGAGTTCAGATTCTATACCTTCCACTTGTCACCTGTGTGTTCCTAAGCAACTGAGCCTCCGCTTCTAACCCAGTATGATGGGGAAGATATTCTTGTCATTTATTATTATTTTTGTGGGTATGCACGTGCATGTATTCACAAGGGAGGGCACATATGTAACATGTTTGTCTGTATATAAATGTGTAGGCCAGAAGCTAACCCTAGTCAGGTATGGTATATCTTGTTAGATTCAAATTTTGAGGATGATGAGGGAACAACATGTTCGGAAGTTTGTTCTCTCCTTCTGTATCATACTCAGGGATTGAACTCAGATTGTCAGACCTATCAGCAAATGCATTTACTCCTCCCAAGTCTTGCTGCTGCAGCTATTTTGTTAGCTCCTTGCTATGGAACAGTATTTGTACACTGTAAATATGTGCTGCTCTCATTATTGATAAAAAGACAATTGGCAGATAGCGAGGCACAATTGCTGGGGCAGAGAGAATTCTGGGAAGAAGGACAGAGTCTGGGTAGTCTCAGGGAGAAGAAGCACATTGAACATGTGTTGAAAGAAGGTACAGCCATGTGGAAGAGGGTAGATAAGAAATATGGGTTAATTTAAAAATGTAAGAGTTAGTTCCTGAGCCATTAGCCAAGCATTTATAATTAATAATAAGTCTCTGAATGGTTGTTTGGAAGTTGCTGTCGAGACACAGAAACTCTGCCTATAGCTCCTATCTGTGTTTTTGAGGCAGGGTCTTACTGGGCCCTGGGGCTAGTGGAATAGGCCAGCTGACTGGCTATGGAGCGCTAGGCATCCACCTGTCCCCAATCCATTCTGGGATTGCAAACATCCACCACTGTGACCCACGCATTTACATGGGTGCTGGGATCTAACTCAGACCCTCATGTGTGCAGAGCATGCACTTTACCCTCTGAGCTACCTTCGCAGCCCTTTTAAGATTCTGACTATTTCTATTAATATTGATGTGTTTGGGCATCTTGCCTGCATGTATGTCCGTTTGTGCTTGGTTACAGCATCCACCGTGTGGGTGCCGGTAACCAAAGCAGGGTCCTCTGCAAGAGGAACAATTGCTCTCAACTGCTGAGCCATCTCTACAGCACCAAACAATTATTTTTAAAAATTTAACCTTTATTTTTATGCTTATGGGTGCTCTGCCTCCATGTATGTTTGTTCAGTGCCCATGGAGGCCAGGAGAGGGCATTGGGTCTCCTGGAACAGGAGTTAGAGTCGGTTGCGAGCCACCCTGTGGGTGCTGGGAACCAAACCAGGATCCTCTGCAAGAGCGACAAGTGCTCTTAATGGTTGAGTCGTCCCTCCAGACCCCTTGTTCATTAACAAAAACAAAAACAATTGTGTGTTTTAAATGAATTACCATATGCATATGTAAAGCACTAAGAGTGTGAGTTATCAATAACTCTGGAGTCATTAAAATCAGGAAAGCATGGGGTCCTGTGGAGGAATTCATAGGTGAAGCATCTAAGCCCAGAAACATTACAGGTAACACGGAAAATGGAAGGACAGAAAACAGTCCAGCAGGGGGCACCACAAGGCAAAGGAGAAGGGACTTCTCTGTAGAACGTTACTGATGGGCCTCGAGGTGAAGGAGCAAGGAAAAGGAAAAGGGCAAGGTGAGGCTGGTGGAGTGATGGGAGCCAGTCATGCCAAAGAGTTTGGGATTTCTGCTTCTGGAGAGGTGGAAAGGAGTCGCTGAGTAAAGTGCGCTCCAGTGGCCGCCACACGGTCTGTAGGATGAAGTTTGGCAGGCCCTTACAAAGAGGTCAAAAATGAAAGAAAAAAGTCGCAGTAGGGATGGAGAGGAGATAATGGGTTAGAGATGTTTAGGTTGCCGGTGGATGGCACGCACCTTTAATCCCAGCACCAGGGAAGCAGAGGCAGGTGGATCTTTGTGAGTTCGAGACCAGCCTGGCCTACAAGAGCTCCAAAGCCACAGAGAAACCCTGTCTCGAAAAATTAAAAAAAAAAAAAAAGTTTAGGTTTAAAAAAAAAAAAAAAGTGTCATCCATCATATCATCCATCTTTGTGGTCTGAACCCCAATCTCAGAAATATAGCCTAGTTCCAGGCCACTTAAGCTCCCCACCCACTCATCCACTCCGCAGCTCTCCTAGCAGTAACACACTGCGCTGTATAACCCTCGCACGCCATTGGCTGCTCTCCTCCAACTTTTTTGCAGCCCATCTATAATCCACCCAACTCTGACAAAAAGCCGAACCTGGTGAGCTCCTTCTTAACTCCAGCTTCCCACGGGAGACCAAGAAAAAAGAAATTGCCTTCAGCTGGAGCTCCAGCCCCTCTCTACCCAGCCGGGCCTCTGTCCAGTTCCACCGACCTTTTTGAGGCTCCAAGGACAGAACGAAAGAGGAAGCAGAGGTTTCATTCACACACGTGTGTTCTCCTTTCCGTTTATAAGGCTCTAAAGACAACCAGAAAGCAGGGAACCCTGAGCCTGGTAGACACGGGGTGTCCGTGTAAAGAGTGGTAGTGGAGGCTCTCTAGTCTCTGCATCTCGGAGGATGCCAACTTGGGTCTCCCTAGAAGACAACTAGGTTGCAATCAAGGATAGGCAGTTGTGTGGGAGGGAGAGAGGATGGCTTGGGGGCGGACACCAGATGAGGAAACCACAGCTTCGGGAAGTGGGCTTCTGAGGGCTGCTGTGCTTCTGAAGCTGTTTCAGAGTCCGCACCAGAAGAACGTGAGAGCTTAG